GTTAGTCACTTTTTCGCAGTCTTATCTCTTTCTTCATTTATTTTTATCTTAAAATTTCTCCTGCCTTAAGGCATTCTGTTGGGTTTATCTATTCTTGTGTTTCTTCTATTTCAATTTTCATCTCCAAAATCATTTTTTGATTTTCACTTCTTTCCTAAGTTCTGTCACCTCATTCGTGATTTTTTTCTATTTCAGATTTATATTGTTTAAGGCTTACTGCATGATCTTAAGGTCGCTTAGCTCCTTTGAAAATAGAGAATTACAGTTTTCATTTGCTTTGTGGCACTTCTTTCTGGCATTCTTTCATTATCTATAGGAACTCTCTCCTTACTCTTTTTTTTTTTCTTATAGTAACTGAAAGATTTGACAGCAATCATTTCCTGATGCTTATTTTTATGTACAATTAGTTTACCTAAACTTTTAAGAGGGAGACATGGTTCAGGTTAGCCTTCTAATTTCACATAGCTCTCCTTTTAGTTGCTTTCATGTAGTGTTCAAAAAAATGTTGGTTTTTGAGATTTCACACACACACACACACACACACACACACACACACACACCTTTATTTATTTATTTTATTTCTTTTCCCTTAACCATAACTTCCCCTATCCTGATTATTTTGACTCTGCTCCCATACTAAATTTCTCTTTGGCAGTGAGAAGTAAGCCCTGGAAGTGAGCCTTGCTGGGTTGGTTTCAATAGATTATAGGGTCCAGTCCACAGATCTCTTACATCCACCCATTATTTGAGTGCACAAAATCCTTCTCAATTTCAGTTGCTGTCCTCACATTAACCTGCCAAAATGTCCAGTGGATTCCTATTGAAAATTTTGGGGTTCTCCTCTTCTCAAGCCTGCCAAATGCCCCAATGTTTACTTCTGTTTTCTCCTGCTCAGATGTTGATACTCTGCAGGTCTTGGTTATGGTGTATCCCCAGCCACTTGTGTTTGGGGATTGATAGAGATAATTTGTCACCTATGTTTATTATAGATATTGTTAATGGGTTTCCGAGTTTGCTATGTGGGGATTCAGAAATAATTATAAACTATGTTATTGTTATCACCATCTTCCAAAATCACTTAAGTGATTTTAATGGACTTTTGCATCTTGTTCTTTTCTTTCTTTCATACTAGACAGAAAACTAAAATACCGGGTGGTCTGGTTCAATTCCAACACCTGGCAACTCCAATGCTTCCCCAGAGACCAAAAACTCCAGGGGACCTGGCTTCACATCTAAGCTAAGAACACACTGGCTCTGGCAGGGGCAGCAAAGCTTTAGAACTGCACCCTCAGAGCATCCACACCCTCCCTCAGCCTCCCAGCCTCAGGAAATTAACCAGGGGAAGGCCCAGCAATACTCTAGGGCTGAAACTAGAAAAATCAGGCCCGAATCTCACCAAGGAGTTCTGCTGGGCAATGTTAATTCTAGGTGTAGCCTAATTCTTTGCCATTCCTCACAGTGAACAACAATAAATGGATTTTAAACCTCATTATTGTTTCATTCCTTTCATGTAGCTAAAAAGTTCAAAAGGGAGAGATTTGAAGATGGTGGTGTAGGTAAACAACTATACTTGCTGCCTCCCACAACCACATCAAATTACAACTAAAATGTAGGACCACCATCATCCAGAATCGCTGGAAGGCTAGCTGAATGGAAGTCCTATAACTAGAGAAGTAAAGAAGAAAGCACACTGAGACTGATAGGTGGCACGGAGGTGCAGAACGGACTGGTCTGGAACCACATGTGCCACTTTTTTAATCAGAAGGGAGATCATCTCTGTGGAGGCCGCTGAGAGGAGCAAGGGGTCCCAGCCCCACACCCTTTCCCAGGATCCCAGAACTGGAAAAAGAAGTCCCTATGGGCAGTAAGAACTACAGAACTATGGGCTATAAAAGCCAGTGTGGATTGGGGCTCAGTGATACAGAGACTGCTGGAGACCCAGCTGTTCCTCTTAAAGGCCAGCACCATGAATTGAACTTACAAGGTCCTGCTTCCTCTGAGCTCCAGCCCCAGGGTGAAGCTCTGGGGAACACATACACATAAAAGGAAGAACTGGATTGTCTGGCATCAGTGCAGGAACTCAAGGGTGGTTTTCTCCCAGACGGAGGTCCCCACAGGGATCATTGTTCACAGGGCTGACTGGCAGCCATTTTGGTTTGCTCTGCCCTGGTGATTCCCTAAGACCCTGCCTCATATAATTTATAACCCCACCAAGCTGTGTGCAACAGTTTTTGCATATAAATGGCCTGTCCTGAATCAGGCTAAAATCTCTCAAACAAGCTGCACTGGGTCAGGAAGCCCTAAACCTATCAGTAAAAGGCCCAAGACCTGGCACCAGCATCATCCTGCCTTGCTTCATATCTGGGCCTCATCTGGGCACTTTCAAATCTGATACATACAGGAGGAATCTGCAGATTTCTCTGTAGCTCTTGCTGGGTGGTGCCAGGCAGTGATTGATTTTGCACCTCCCTGGAGACCCAAGAGCCAGTGTACCCAGTTGTCAGTGTCAGACCATACTAGATTATAACTCTATACATTCATAAGTGACACACTCAAGGGGCAGACTCATGAGCACCAAAGCCCCACTGAAGCAAGTCCTGCTCCATAGGGGTGTCTCCTGCATAGCAGCTCTCCCATTATAGTTGCAGCTGGTCCTCACAGCCAAGTGGCCTGGAGGTCAATTCCTCCCAGGGACACCAACAGCAGTCAAGTCTCAACTACAACAAGACTGCGCTCACAGCCCACAAAGGGGTGCATCTAGAGCTCCCAGCTCAGATGTGGGAGGCTGAACCGCTGGGCTCTATAGGACATCTACTACACAAGGCCATTCTATCAACTCAAGGAGACATAGCAGTTCTACTCAATACATAAAAACAAACACAGAGAAGCAGCCAAAATACAGAGTCAAAGAAACAAGACAAATGAAAGAAATGGAAAAAAGCAAACTACTGGATATAGAGTTCAAAACCACAGTTATAAAGTTACTTAAGAATCTTCTATAAACCTCCCCAAAAAAATGGAAAAGAATCAGTCAGAAATTAAGCATACACTGACTGAAATAAAGAATAATATACAGGGATTCAACAGTAGAGTATAGGATTCTGAGAATCAAATCAACAATTTGAAATAAGAGGAAGCAAAAGCACCCAACTAGAAGAACAAAAAGAAAAAAGAATCCAGAAATATGAAGATAGTGTAAGGAGCCTCTGGGACAACTTCAAGTGTACCAACATTCGCATTATGAGGATGCCAAAAAGAAGAGAGAGAGCAAGATATTAAAAACTTATTTGAAGAATGACAGAAAATTTCCTCTCCCTAGTGAAAGAAATAGACTTACAAGTCCAGGAAGGACAGAGAAAACCAAACAAGAGGAACCCAAAGAGGCCCACACCGAGAATATCATATTTAAAATGCCAAGGGCTAAAGACAAAGAGAGACTCTTAAAAGCAGCAAGAGAAAGGCAGTTAGTTACCTACAAGGTAGCACCCAGAAGACTGTCAGCTGATTTCTCAATAGAAACTATGCAGGTCAGAAGGGAGTGACAAGAAATATTCAAAGTGATGAATAGTAAGGACCTACAACCAAGATTACCCAGCAGAGCTCTCATTTAGAAGATTTAAAGTTAAAAAAAAAAAAAAAAAAAAGCTCAAGGAGTACATCACCACCAAACCAGTATTATATGAAATGTTGAAGGTTATCTATATCTATATCTATATCTATATCTATATCTATATCTATATCTATATCTAAAAGCCTAAGTGGCTGTTGCAATTGAACAACCAAAATGACCGATCAGCCAGTCACTATGACACACACTGACCAACAGGAGGACAGACGCTCAACACAGGAGCTGCCGCCTGGTGGTCAGCGCACTTACACAGCCAACCTCCCATGGCTCCTCCTTCCCCCCTGCTGGCCAGCTCTGATAGGCCCCAATTGAGGGGCCAGCTGGCCAACCTCCCAGGGTCCCTCCCCCTGGCTTGCCAACCCCCCAATAGGCCTCAATTGCCAGCCAAGCCAAGGGATCCCTTCCATGCACGAATTTGTGCACCAGGCCTCTAGTTATTGAATAAAAAGAAGAGATAAAAATATGAACAATAAAATGGCAACAAATACATATCTAACAACAATCGAATTTAAAAATCAAAGTAAGCGAGCAAGAAATCAATGAACAAAATAAGCTAGTGAATTAAACAGAATCAGAGACATGGAAACATGGAACAGATTAATGAATTTGAAAGGGAAGGGAGGAGGGAGTGTGGGAAGAGATTATCCAAAAATCTTACCTATGGACAAGATAGTACAGTGGTGAAGGCTTGGGATGGGGCAAGGACCAGGTGTAATGGGGGAGGGAGGGAAAAGGGGGACATCAATAATATTTTCAACAATGAAGATTTTAAAGATAAGTAAGTTGTGAAGTAACGAAAAGCACATAGAGAGTACAATGCACAACACAAGTATTGGCCATTCCTAGTGTCCTGTGTGCCTGAGACACAAGGCCAGCACCTGTGCCCAGAAACACCACAGCTAGTCTGCTCATGTGTGTGCTGGCCTTTTCCCTCATTATTCCTGTTTTCCCTCTGGCCTTTGAGACTTCCCACAGGCCCCTTTGAGCAGTGGCCAGCACAGGGGATAGGTGATACCCAGGCAAAAACCATTGCTGACCTGCTACTAGAAGCCAGTGTGCCCTGTCCACACCTACTTCTCCAGTAATGAGGGTCTGAATTGTGCCATGTGCGCTGAAAAATTCCACAGGAATTGCATTTTTCACTCTCTCTTCTTGAAAGTTCCCCTCTTTTTCCTGTATTGTGAATGCTTCCCAAGGTAGTTCGTTTCTATATAGAAGGCACCCTGTCTAATGCTGTGTGGTATTTCATAAAGAATATTATATTCAACAATCCTCTATTGTTTGAGCATATGGGTTTTCTCTAACCAGAGCAAATAGCCCTGAACAGTGACCCCTTCTAGCATCCAACACACTCATCAGTTTTGTTACTTACAGCAAACTCCTCGGGAGTCACTTTCAAGACGTCGAAGACAACGGCATCGTAGCTCTTGCTGGCATAGTCGCAGCTCTGGCCCTCCAGAGAGTCTGAGCTGCTGCTGCCCTGTGGGGACCAGAAGAGACATGCCACCTGAGCAGTCTGGCTGACTTGAGTCACTGCCTACCACACCTCAGAACTGAGGAGGCAGAGTGACAGACTGCATGGTGATAAAAGCTTGTATTGTTTAGTACTTCACTCTGTTCCAGGCACGGTGCTAAGCACTTCATATGCATCATGTTAACATCTCTGAGTACACAATATTACTATTCCCATTTTACAGCTAAGGAAGTAGAGGCAATGTTACTTCCCCACGGTAGCTCAGCTAGGAAAGTGAAGAGCCAGAAAGAGAGCCTGGTTGTGAATCTACCGGATCCCAGATCACTGCACCCCACAGGCTATGTGGTGGTGGGGTAAAAAATACAGCCCAATCTTCCTTCAGAGGGAACCGGTCTTCCCATCTTAGGAAGCCTGAGGAGATCACCTATTTCTTTATATCTTTCAAACATTACCAGGTTTTACCTTTTTATTTATTTTTTCTATTTGAGTTCATTGCAGGAAATTGTTACACAAAATGCTAAATCGGCTCTTAAAGCTTATTTCATGCATGGGCCACTTGGAATTCAAGCCTGTGAGCTGATGAGGTGAGAGGTAACCGACTGGCATCGGAGACAGGCGTGAAAGTTATATTTAGTAGAGTCCCTTGTTTGGAAGAACACTGTGAGTCCTGCAAGTAAAGTGTCTCCATAAAAAGGCAAGTTGAAACTCCCCAATTGTGGCCGGTTTCATGAAAAACCCAATGCTACAGGGATCCCAGAATGCTGAGCATACCTTCTCCTCAATTTTATTTCATTTCATCAAATCCCACTTTAGGGAACCAATCACACTTACCACCCAAAAACTGTGCCCTGTTCATAAATGGTTTTATTCCTCTCAATCCATGAAGAGGGATTTTGTGGTTTCCATTAACCTCAGCATCTTGGACTGGGATTTAGAGAATATGCTTTTATTAATTCCTCTTTATTTCACTCTTTCCAAAATGGCTATATCTGGAAAAACTTTGCAATCTTACTGGAAACTAGCGTCTTTTTAGGCCAGTAAGGGAAACCAATAGTCAATAACTGAAAATGTGAGGTTAAAAGGAGAAGCAGAAACTAAAGCTGTAGATTTCAATAGGCCTGTGTCACTTAAAGGCTTTACAAATGAGTCTGCTACCCAAGACCCTAAGATGATCTTAAGAAGCAGGGTCCCGGGGTGGTTAAAAGGCCAGCTCCACACCAGCTGCTGCCCAACCTCAGGTGAGTGCCTTCATCTTACCAAGCCCAGGCATCTGTAAATGGCACTGTTGGAACCTACTGCCCAGAGCTGCAGTGGATTATAGAAAATGAAGCTCACAGAGCAACTGGCAGAATCCTCTCCCCTTGCCCCCCAGAGATGCTGGTTCTAGGGCTCTAGGGGTCTGGGTGGGCTCAGGGATAGCTAATTTAAAAGTTATGCCGAAACCGGTTTGGCTCAGTGGTAGAGCGTCGGTCTGCGAACTGAAAGGTCCCAGGTTCGATTCCGGTCAGGGGCACATACATTGGTTGCAGGCACATCCCCGGTTGGGGGTGTGCAGGAGGCAGCTGGTCGATGTTTCTCTCTCATTGATGTTTCTAGCTCTCTATCTCTCTCCCTTCCTCTCTGTAAAAAAATCAATAAAATATATTTGGAAAAAAAAAAAAGTCTTATGGGTAATGGGACAGTATCCCCTGAGGAAAACCTGTGTTACACTTTTGAAAAGTAGTAAAGACTAACCGTCAATGCCCCTGGACCTGGCCATCTATTCTGCCTCAGCCCTGTACACTCCTGAGTAGAGGGGACCAGTGCATCACTGCATGCCACACCCATCTTCCCGGAAGTGGCACTGCAGGTGACAGGACAGGTTTTCATCAGGACAGGTGGTGTCATCACAGTCAGGAGCACACCAGGGTGGGTTCCACAGGCTTGGCTTTGAATCCTACCCACCACTGACCAGCTATGCGACTGAAAGCTAGTTTATACACTTCTCCCCGCCTTAGTTCCCTCATCTATAAATTAGGGGTAAAACAACAGTCCACACCTCATGGGGTTTTGTGAGGACTAAGTCAGATCATCTCTGTGAAGATGCAAAAAATGAGCCTGGTATATAGTAAGAATATCATGGGTGTGGATATGAATAAACATGTTATTCAGTCTCCAAAATTTATTGAGCACTTCAATTATATATGTATTCATTCATTCATTCAACAAATGTTTTTGAGTATTTGCCATGTTCTGGATATGCACACATGGACCTGTATACAGTATAGATGTATGCATGTATGCGCACGAATGTGTAAATACAGGAAGAAGAAAGAAGTTTACTATAGATAGGGTGTAAATTGTAAATAGAAACAGAATTCTGATTCCTCTAGTTGCCAAACAGTCCATTCCTGGGCTTCAGGTTTTATAACTTTCCTGTAATGCCCATTGCACCGGCCCCAAACACGTGCTCAAACAAGGGTCCTTGTTTAATCAAAAATTGCCCCAAATATATTCATTGGTGGTGCTGGCAGTGATGATGCAGTAACGTTACTTAAACTTATATTGAAGCCATCAAAAATTTTAAAAGACACTCACAAGTCTGCTTTTCAGAAGCAGAGAACAAAACAGGAAAACTTTCTAAAGATTTATAAGAAATGAGCTAGTTCCTGTGAATTTCTAGTTGATTACATAGGATCGTTTCAAAAGCCCAGCTCCATTCTAAGGGCCCTGTGAGCTCAGGACACTGAGCGCGGCCAGTATGTTACAGGACCAGGTGTTACGCACTGGATGTGGTGCCATCCCCAGGCCACGGATGACACCCACTCCCCTGCGTGCCTGCTACATTACTGAACTTGGAAAGAAAAGTCCCAACCCCCTGGGGAAAGGCCCAGCCCAGGACACTCTCAGACCACCAGTCCTCACAGCCATTTCCTCCTGAGGAAGGTAAATAAGAGCACAGGCCAGTTGGAATCAGTTCTGTCTGACTTCATTCCGGAATGTGTGACTTATTTATAATCAGCGGCGGCTTTTCTGGGGAAAGGTCTGATCTCTTCGTGCACCAACATGGAATGTGGCACTTGCTAACACTGGACCGAGCAGCTATTTGTTTTTCTTTGAAGAGAAAGACTTCAGAAAACATACTGGTCCTCAGGACTGACTGCCTCCCAAATCTCACGCCCGGCATGGCCAGGGCCTCGGGAGTGCTAAGAATGGAGGTATTCATGGAGCCCTGCAGCTTCACTGCTCATGACTCAGCGGGAGCCTGGCAGCTTTGCTGCCCCCGCCGTCGGATCCTCGCAGCCTCCGTACCTGTGGAGTGGCGGAGGTGACCAACACGCTAGCCATCAGACCATTCCTCTTGTACATAGTCTCCAGGCCACAGGGAGCTTCAGGGCAGCCTCTGTCGGTGACATAACCCGTCTGGAGAAGTCCTGCAAGGCAAAGGAGCTCATAAAAACCAGCCCTCAAAGACAACTAGACCCCACTCCTGGGGAAAAGGGGTGACAAGATTTGAGCAGATGACCCCAGAGACCTTTAAAGAAAGATTTTAAGCTGGTGGCCTTTGGGCTAAATGTGGCCCACAGATGTACTTTGTTGGGCTTGCACACGTTTTAATATTTTTTAAATTAATCACCTATGTTTAAAACTTGAAAGGTTTCATGCAGGATCCTGGATTTCTGACATTTCTTGAAATTAGGAATACCTGGCAGTACCAGGCCCACATCCCCGCCCACCTGGCCCTTGCAGGCTCTAGAGTTTGTGATCTTAAAGTGGAGACAGGTGAAGAAGACAAATGGATTCTGCTGTGTCTGCCTGTGCACCAGACCATGTCAGCAGCAATAATGTGGAGAGCAGCTAATATTGCACAGTACTCGCCTGGTGCCATGCGTTTTACACACCGCAGCTCACCTAACCCTCACTGCAGTCCTTGGGGAGGCCCTACCATTACACCCACAGGGCACAGAGGAATCAGAAACAGGGAGCTAACGTGACTCACACTTTGGTGCCTCAGCTCATGCTGTCCTTATCCCATCAGCATTCAAGATCCTACTCAGCTGTCATTTCATCTGGTTATCATGCCTGGACCACCCAGAGCAACATCAGTTGCTTTATACCAATGTGTGTGTACACAATTCTAGCACAGCATTTATCACATCATCAAACATTTCAGAACCGTAGCCACACCAGCTTTTTTGCAGGAAAGTGGTGAGGAGAGTGGGGAGATTGTAATGGGAGGAGGAAAGGAGAAGGCAAAGGTTCCAGCTGGAAGCCAACTGCAATTTCCCAGGCACAGATGAGGAGGGTCCTCTGAGCTAAGTTTGCAGCAGTGAGGTCAGAGGGAAGGAGACAGGCCAAAAGGCAGTCAGGGCAGAATTCAATAGAAATTGATGAGGGCGGGAGGGAGCACAAGCCGAGGATGAATGGTTTCTGGCTGGAGGTACCAGAAGGATGATGGTGAAGGGACAGAGGTGCGGGAAAAGATGATGAATTTAATTTGTGACACGCTGGGTCTGAGTTGCCAAGGACATAATCAGTCCTGGTAAGCAAGATCAAGCCCAAAGGTCACTGGGAAAGATGGAAAACAAGGAGGTACAAGTCTGGTCTTGAACTGTCTGTGTACCCATTATGCTTCCGGCAGCCTGAGCTAGAAAGACAGAGCTTGTTTCCGATCTCACTCCTGCATGTCTCGACACTGACGAAAACAGACTAATTTATGAGCAACAATTCTCAGACAAGTGATATTTCACATGGAAGAAGAAAACAGAACCAAACAGAATGGAAGATCCTTTCCAGGGCCCAGAGAAACCTCCACCCACCCACCTTCAGTCCCTGAGGCCTGGCCAAGCTCCAACTCCTGGTCAGGAACCAGACTCCCAACAAGGAGGTAAGCCCGGCTCAGCCCTTCCCTAAGAACCCTTTCCCAACCCCATGGGCTGGCCCCTAATGATGGGAGCCAAGCCTCCCAGGCCAGACTGAACCACAGTGGCCACCTCGTTCTCCTGAGAGCTTGGAACCCCAAGATGCCAATCTCTGCTGGTTAACCAAACAGAGGGGCTGTACCCTTGGGAGCAGATGTTGGCCAAATCCTGCCGGTCAGTCGGTCAAAAGGAGAGGCACAGAGAGAAGCTCAAGAGACAGCGGTGTCTGAAAGGTGGGGGAGAGCACTGGGCCTGGTTCCCACTACTTTGTAACAAATGCCTCTTTTTCTGCGTCAGATAGATTTCCAAAGACCTTGGCAAAGAAACTAAGGTCACACAGGGGCCCATGTGAATGGGGGAAGATACATGCCACCATCCATCCATCCATCCACTCACTGAGCTCATGTGTCACACAGGCACACTCGTGCTGGGAGTTCCTAACCTTTGTGTGCCTTGGACCCTTTTGGCTGTCTGGTGGAGCCTCAAGGCCCTTTCTCACAGAAATATTTTTAATTGTGTAAAATAAAATTATACAGGAAACCAATCACACAGGATTTCCCAGGAAACCAACTATATAAAAATACAGTCATTAAATTATTTTTAAAACAATTGCAATGTAGTAAGGGAATAAATTTTAATTATGTATGTATGTATGTATGTATGTATTATTGCATTAAATAACAAAATCTATTGGTGGATCTGGAAATTACCATAATTTCAAAGCAGTACGAGCACAGGCATTCTAAGATACCCACAGCTAATATGTGATAGAAAAATATCTGTGAATTTTATTGGTGACAAAGTCCCAGATACTAACAATATTACCGTGATGCATTGTCTTATGCTAGTAACTGAGAGAAGTTTGTGAAAATAAAGATACCATTTTCCCCATTCAAATTCAGAGATGCCTGGTCGAAAACCGCTGTTCCAGGCTCTGAGACCATGAAGTGAACAGTCCCTGCTCCCACAGATTTCATATTCCAGGGTGGGAGCCAGAAAATACCATGAAGAAGATAATCTATGCTAATAAAAGGGTAATATGCTAATAGTCAGGATGCCCTCATGTGTAACAACCGAACAGCAGGAGGCACAGGTGGGAAGGGACTTGCAGCACTGGAGACTTGCATCATGCCATCACAATCCATCACGGGAGGCCTGGGGCCTAGCGGAGGCCTCTGCTTCCAGGCCTGGGGGTCCCTCGGCTCCTGCCTATCTCTTTGGGGCAATCCATCAAGGAGCCCCAGATGAATGGACAGGGCCTACCTCTTTGGGGTGATGGATTGTAGGGCTCCCACACTGTGACAGGGCACAGGCCAGGCTGGGGGATCTCCCCCCTTTCCCTCCCCCAGTGCACGAATTTTGTGCACCAGGCCACTGGTTTCTGATAATGAGAAGTGTCTTGAAGAAACACAATGGAGTGGAATACAGTATTTGTCAGGGTGGTCCAGGAAGGACTCTCTGCAGATGTGATCTTTGGATTGAACCTTAGGAAAGAATCAACCACAGGAAAAGGACTGTTCTTAGCAGAGGGCACAGCAAATGCAAAGGTCCTGGATGCACATGAGCATAGAAGCTTTGTGACAGAGGCAGATGGCCATGGCTGGACCTTAGAGAGTGGGAGGCAGTGGACAGACAGGCTGGGGCCAGGGCCTGGAGGGCCTTTCAGGCCACAGTGGGGGGTTGGGGTTTATTTGGAGTACACTAGAGGGTTCTGAGCAGGGGAGTGACATGACCTGACCAGTTTTGAAGGTCACTGTAGCTACTGTGTAGAGAACTGGGTTGGAGAGCCAAAAAAAAACAGAAGCAGTGAAGCCAGTGGTGGGTAAGGAACGATGATGACAAGACTGCTGGCCACGGGGACCAGGGATGGATTTGGGAGAAGGTTTGGAGGTGAAGCAGACAAAACTTGTCAATGGACTGCATGTGAGGGAAAAGGAAGAGAGGATGACTGGGGGCCGTTATGACCGGGTAGATGTTGACCTAAAAGCCATACGCTCATCAGCAGTTTGCTTATCATTCACTGAACAGCCCCAAGTCATCCTCTACCGAGACAGCTGGTGCACCAGTTCTGGGGACCCAGAGTCGAAGGTAACATAGCCCTGTGTCCTGTGGTGCATGTGGGAGAGAAAGTCCAGCAAGGACACATTACAGGTTCACCTTGGGGGTGGGGGGGAGGGTCAAGGAAGACATCACTGAGAAGAGCTACTGAGTTGGGTCTTAAAGAACCAGGGGCAGTGTTTCAGGGAAAGAGCGGAGAACAGGAGGGCAGTGTGAGCAGGTATGGAAGCGCGCAGGTATGCAATGCCAGTGTGTCAGGAGCACCAGAAATCCTCCCCCTTCTCCCTTTATCTCAGCCCCATGCTCACTCTAGACAAACACGGGCACTGAGGCACAGCAGCAAACAAGCCAGGCACAGAGTCTGTTTGACAGGCGGCCCTGACACATCTGGCAGCAAACATGGCGAAGTTTTTCCTAAGCCCTGAGCTGTGTGCAGTCTGATTATCACTGTCATCCTGACAATTTATCAAACGCTTTGTTTCAGGCTCTGGCTAAGGATGTTTATGCATTAAAAAAATTTTTTTTTACAGATGAGGAAACTGGCACTCAGAGAGAAATTAACTCTGTCACTTACGGATACGATTTGATGTGCTTGCATTGACTGTGTTGCCTGCCACATTGGAGGCAGTCTGGCCTAAAAGTAAGAGCACCAGCTTTTTTATTTTTTTTCCACTTTATTATTTTTTTATTTTTTTATTAAGGTATTATATGTGTACATATCTTACCATTGCCCCCTCCCATACATGCCCTCCCTCCCCAGAGTTTTTCGTCCATTGGTTATGCTTATATGCATGCATTCAAGTCCTTCAGTTGATTTCTTATTTCCCCCATTTTAGTTGGGCCATTTTAATCTGTACATACCAAAATCCTATTTTCCACCCTCCCTCTGCCTCTCTCACCTCTCTCCCCTCCCTCCCTCTCTCTGTCCCTTTGCCCCCCTCCCCATCTCTCTCTCTCTCTCTCTCTCTCACACACACACACACACACACACACACACACACACAGGCTGCTAACGCCTCCTTGGAAACCAAAACACAGCAGGAGAAAAAGCAATTCTCATGATGTAACTCGGCAAGCACGTGGCAGTTGTAGCAGAACCACAGAACAATCCCCCATCTCTTGTTTCCCTGTGACAGAGTCTGGTCTGGTGTGTGTGGGCTCCAGAGGAGGGGAAGGAAAATCCCATATGCAACATTGGTTTTCTTCCAAACTCAGAATTCTGCTTCAGCGTTTCAGGCTCAGGAAACCAAGAAAATAACATGAGACAGTCTGGTGCAGACCACTGTTGAGAAGGCAGAATAACCACTTTTTTTCTAAGCTTATGGAGACTGTTTCAAAGAAAATACACACATCCAGGAATGTTCAATTACAGGAGAGTGATCTCTTCCA